TTCACTGACGTGCTAATACCCTTGGGAAAGGTATGAATCCTCTTCTAGATTTTCCCGGAGGAGTAATGGATAGCGGCTCGGATTGAGGAATCGGAGAGCCGAGTTCGAATTCCAGTCGAATCCATTACATTCACTTACGTGCTAATACCCTTGGGAAAGGTATGAATCCTCTTCTAGATTTTCCCGGAGGAGTAATGGATAGCGTCTCGGATTGAGGAATCGGAGAGCCGAGTTCGAATTCCAGTCGAATCCATTACATTCACTTACGTGCTAATACCCTTGGGAAAGGTATGAATCCTCTTCTAGATTTTCCCGGAGGAGTAATGGATAGCGGTCGGATTGAGGAATCGGAGACCGAGTTCGAATTCCAGTCGAATCCATTACATTCTCTTACGTGCTAATACCCTTGGGAAAAAATGAATCCTCTTCTAGTCTTTGGGTAAATAGCAGAGGATTCTATATGGATGGCAACTCTTCTATCGTGTAAAGAAACGGAATCTTATCAAAGAAAACAGCTCGAAATTCCAGTCAGTTCTACATCCCCAGCTATGAATCCAAAAATAGAATTCTCAGACCCCCAGGTTCTAACTAGCCAGACCAGGATGGCCTTTGATGGCAATCGTGGTCCATCGTAAAAGAAACGACAACCTACCCGGGGAAAAGATCTGCCTCGTCAGTCATATACCGAAAGATACATTATTGCCTACGCGTGTATCATGTATGGCACATAATTGACTAGCGGAGCCCGTCTCTCTCCAGTGCAAACCGAAATCGATGTATTCTAACTTGAAGGCTCGCCTTGATCACAGAGACGTGGCCGTTGATTCCACCGGGAGTACACCACTTCACCACTTGAGAGTTGACTAAGTCTAAGATGCCTTCCGCCCATTTATGCCGTCCGATCAGCGTACTGACTGTATATATAGTTACGGAGCCCAGTAACTACATTGTCCTTATATCGCTGTTGACCCGGCGAGAAGGTACATCCGCCTTTTGATACATATTCTTTTTGCTTAATTTTAAAGAAAATCTTCCCGGTTGTCTAACCATTTTCCTCGCCAAAAAAAAGAATCTTGCTGTAAGAACCGGTTTAGTCGTCGTTGTTCCAACCATGCAGAAGTTACTAGTGGTTAAACAGTACCACTAAAAATTGTAACTAGTGGTTACACAGTACCACTAAAAATTGTAACTAGTGGTTAAACAGCACCACTAAAAATTGTAACTAGTGGTTACACAGTACCACTAAAAATTGTAACTAGTGGTTAAACAGTATCGCTAAACATTGTAACTATTGGTTAAACAGTACCACTAAAAATTGTAACTAGTGGTTACACAGTACCACTAAAAATTGTAACTAGTGGTTACACAGTACCACTAAACATTTTAACTAGTGGTTAAACAGTATCGCTAAACATTATAACTAGTGGTTAAAAAGTACCACTAAAAATTGTAACTAGTAGTTAAACAGTACCGCTAAAAATTGTAACTAGTGGTTAAACAGTACCGCTAAAAATTGTAACTAGTGGTTAAACAGTACCACTAAAAATTGTAACTAGTGGTTAAACAGTACCACTAAAAATTGTAACTAGTGGTTAAACAGTACCGCTAAAAATTTTAACTAGTGGTTAAAGAGTACCACTAAAAATTGTAACTAGTGGTTACACAGTACCACTAAAAATTGTAACTAGTGGTTACACAGTACCATTAAAAATTGTAACTAGTGGTTAAACAGTACCACTAAAAAATGTAACTAGTGGTTAAACAGTACCATAAAAAATTGTAACTAGTGGTTACACGGTACCACTAAAATTCGTAGAATGATCTGACATACATTCAGACCAGTAGCAGAACGGGTATCCCGACACAGAAAGGGAAATCGAGGAGTTCAAGTGTCGAGCTAATCTAATGCGTTCACTTTGACACAACGCCAATGATACCAAAAATGAATTCGTCTTTTCTCCACACTCTCAGTTATGGGTTAAATAGCAGTGTAAACTGCGTTGTCTATCCTTAGCTAGCAACCAGGCTAGGAGAAGGAAAACGAAAAGTACTTCACTATTTCACCAAAACTGCATGGTAATTCACGAAGAATAAACGAAAGGGATCGTTGATGGATTCAATAATTCTTCTTATGTCATACAGAGTGCGTCTCAGTGACGCAAACATGGCGTCTCATTTTAACAGATATATTTACCCAAATCACACAATTGTTTACATTGTCTATGTATGGAGTAATGTAAGAGAAAATGTGAGTGAACCAGTGAGTGAACAAGTGAGAACGAAAGGAAACAACCTTTAAATGAACGTTGTTTTCCTCATGAACCTAAAGGGTGCGATGGATAAATTGTCGTCTCTATGACGCAAAAAATGAAAATAATACTGACATCTCATTTTAACAGAGATATTTACCAAAATTACACAAAAATATCTTGAAATACTAAAGAGTAAATGTATTTAATAAAATCGCCATTGTTGCGATCTTGTAAAGATTTAGACAAAGTTTGTTTTGATAACTTTTTTTTCCTTCTTAATTTACTCTCTTAGGATCACAGGGGTGTTTCCTAAACATACACACACATACACACCTCGACTTTATGAATTTAAACGCAGTACCAGATTGGCAGAAAGGTCTCATCATTTTTACATTTGAATTGGCTAGATGTAACCGCAAGTTCTATGCTAACAGTTTCTTCACTCGCACTTCCCGTTTGTGGAACTCTTCCGGTTTCTTGCTTTCCAGCCAAATTTGACTTTAAAAACTTTAAATGCAATGTCAATCATTATCTACTGTCTCTTTGATTACTCTGCTATTGTTCTCTCTCCTTGATAATGTTTCTCTTTTTTTTTTCTTATTCTTTCACACTCAGTAACCTGTTGTGTCTTAGTGGCTTTATTGCCTTGCATAGAGTGGAATGATTAAAAAAAAAATACAATATCTTTCGTCCTGACTTTCAAAGAAGAACAAACAGATGGAATGCTGAAACTTATTTTAATAAATGTTAGGAAAATATCATCAAACTTTAGCTTTTCAACATCAAAATTGCTCTTTCCTACTAAAAAATGGGATTTTAGTTTTTCACTAAAGAAAATGGCGAAAAGTAAATGCTGGGTTATGGAGTATCTAGTAAATTATGGTGTACTGTTACAAACAGCCGATAATTTGTTTAAGTTTTCTGGATTTAAATGTGGGGAACCATAAAATACAAATGAGATTATTGTTGCTTTGCCGACAGAGTTAATACTTTGACGTATTTGTTGAATAAATCTTTTCCTATTTTAGGGTTGCATATCGTCATTTTAAAGACACGATATTCGTATATTTTTCTTTCCCTCTTAAAACTGTCAACATAATTTATTTAAAACCAACACGTATATAAACTTATACAGTAACAAGCTTTTAGTTTTGAGATATGACGCAAAGAAAAGAAGAGAATTGTTTCTACTCAAATTTTCTTGTCACATAATTTTGATATCCTCTCGAGGTATTAATGCAACAATAAATTGTTAAATGTTTCCTTTACGCCAAAACTTTGCTAAACGCTAATTCAACAGATTACACATGATTTGTTTGATCTATGCGCTACAAACTTTCACAACGTCTGTGATCATGGCTCTCCACAACTTCTTTTGACGTTGCTGCTTCTGGACAATTTTATTAGATCAAAAGCAGACAACGAATTATTTTGCAGATTTTCAGTATACGCACTTTAAGAATATAAAATCTTTTAAACCGTTTACATAGTTTTCAACCTTGTTAAGAGGATTTTTATCCAGCGGCATTTCACTGAAACAAATTTTAAGCAAACGATGACATTTTATTGAAACGACTTTTCAGTTAAATGATTTCTTCAGCAAACGATTTTTATCCAGCAAAATTTCACTGCAACAATTTTTGTGCAAGCACTTTTTCATCGAAAGTAAATTTCTTTGAAACGAATTTTCAGTTATTCAAACGATATTTCATTGAAACTACTTTTCAGCAAACGATTTTTCAACTAACGACAATTCTTTGAGACGACTTTTCAGCAAAATGATTTTTAATCGATCGACATTTTATTGACTCATTTCAACAAATGGTTTTTAATCCAAGCGACATTTAATTGAACCCGCTCTTCAGCGTAAGATATTTTTATCGAAACGGCTTTTGCTCGAAATGATTTTTCAATGAAAGATATTTTCCTTTTTTTATTTTTATTTGGTGTAGAATCATTACCAACCATTATTAATTGATATTTTCATCTTAATTTTCTTCACCTAACCAGACATAAGTATGGTACAGTCATTTTTTTTCTTTTAAGCGAGCTTGTATTAAATAAACAGATGTTTCGAAACTGCTTGAACTTTCTTCTTAACACGATCGCATTTTTTCAAAATGTTATCACTTATTTATTCTTAATAGAATACCACGACTTCATAGGTTCGAGGAATAGCAATCAGGGCGATATGGAGTTGAAAAATACTGAGACCATTATGAATAATATTTGGCATCCATGTTTGCCGATAACAAATGCGTTCAGATTTCATTTTATTAAAATATCGCTTTTGGGTACATTATGACAGCTGTTAAGACACTTCGACGATGCCGTAATGGTTAACAAGCTTGTCTCGCCTGATCAATTACTAGTGAGTAGTGTGTTCGATACTTACTGGGTGCTCCACACTTCCGGCCTTGTGCCACATATAAGCTAAGCTTAGAAAAACATTTGATTTTCTAAGGGCACTTCGACGTGGTGTAAGCGCTTCGACGTTGGCGTAATGGTTAACAAGCTTGTATCGCTAGATCAATTACGAGTGAGTAGTGTATTCGATCCTCACTGGTTGCTCCACACTTACGGCCTTGTGCCACGTCTAATCAGCAATGTGGCAGTTGTTACATCAAATGTGTTGCTGTTTTAATACAATATACTTTTCGATTCATTTTTTCTATTATCTGTGAATTTTTTATGATTTTGTTAGAAATTACTTTTTGACACCATTTTGAACTATGTGTACCTTTTTGACTAATGTAAAGAAACTACAAAACCTCCAACAGAGGATAGCGACGGAGAGTGAGAAGAGATAGATAGATAGATAGATAGATAGATAGATAGATAACGAAGAGAATGAATTAGATAGATAGATAGATAGATAGATAGATAGATAACGAAGGGACTGAATTAATTATTTACTCTATCTCCCCAATAAAACGAGTTATGACACAAGGTCAGTTTTTAAGGTGGGAACCCGAGCGCGTACACCCGGTCTAGGAAAAAAATTGTCCGCAACGGAAGTGATTGAATTCGATAGTGTTGTAACCTAGGATAAGGTTACTGAATAAGAATAACCAAAACGAAAGTTGGAAACGGAACGATAATATTTATAAGAGGAACAGCATAAAAGATTTGCTAGCGGCGTGTAGTAATTAACTGCTAGTGGTGAGTTAGAAGGGAATCCAAATGACATGCAAGTGAAAGCCCAAGTGGAAGAGACCACATACAGTATGTAGCCTTGTATTTATAGGAATTGTGAAATACTCGTTATCGTCGATCGATACGGTATAATAGATAGATAGATAGATAGATAGATAGATAGGACTGGGAAGAAAAAAAAATATATATATTGCAAGAGACGCGAGAGAGATTCATATACTTGGAGAAATAGATAAATATTAAGCCTCCATGTAAATTCTGAAATAATGTATTTCATATATATATATAATTTTTTAAGACATTTTTTATGTTTATACGTTCTTTTTATAGATACAAATATTTAAGTAAATGCTCTGTTTTATTTACCGGCCTGAATGTCAGAGAAATTTTCTTAGAAAATATGCATCCCCCGACAGGAATCGAACCTGTATCCTATAAGGAACCGTCATATAAGCCTAACGTGCTTTTACCGATTTAGCCACAGAGGAGCGTTTCGGTTACCAAGGTCGATTTTACTGTTTTTAAACTACAAATCTCCATGATTTTCTCACGTACATATCTGCTCGATGCGTATACAAATGTAAGCAAATGGACGTCACACATTATGAAATGGACAAAGTCCGATAATTATTTTTAAGACACTTATAGCTTATTTCCTTTGTTCCATTTAATCTTTATTTAAAAAAAAAAAACTATTATGTAAATTTTTGTAACTTTGTATAATATTTATGCATTACACCCTAATGTTTATTCGGTAAAAAGTGCATTGCTAATCATGCATTACTTTTTAAGTAATACACATATTTATATCTTTGTTGTTTCCGTTCCTTATATCATGGCCGCTACTGTATATACAGATAGAGAGAACGAGAGGGAGGGGATGACACTGAGGTTGATAGATATTTACGTACTGAGATAGATAGATAGATAGATAGATAGATAGATAGATAGATAGATAGATAGATATGAAAAGACTGCGATAGACAGATAATTAAAAAACAGAGGTTGATACATAATTAAAAGATAGCTAAGACTGGGATAGATAGATAGATAGATAGATAGATAGATAGATAGATAAGATAGATATACTATGATAGATAGATAGATAGATAGATAGATAGATAGATAGATAGATATGAAAAGACTGAGATAGATAGATAGATAGATAGATAGATAGATAGATAGATAGATAGATAGATAATGAAAAGACTGAGATAGATAATTAAAAGACAGTTAAGACTGAGATAGATAGATAGATAGATAGATAGATAGATAGATAGATAATGGACATACTATGATAGATAGATAGATAGATAGATAGATAGATAGATAGATAGATAGATAGATGATAGATAGATATGAAAAGACTGAGATAGATAGATAGATAGATAGATAGATAGATAGATAGATAGATAGATATGAAAAGACTGAGATAGATAGATGATTAAAAGGCAGAGATAGATAGATAATTAAAAGACAGTTAAGACTGAGATAGATAGATAGATAGATAGATAGATAGATAGATAGATAGATAGATAATGGACATACTATGATAGATAGATAGATAGATAGATAGATAGATAGATAGATAGATAGATAGATAGATATGAAAAGACTGAGATAGATATGAACTAACTATGATAGATAGATAGAAGTAGAGGAAGAAACAGATAAATGCTGTTAGTAAAATTCTTATAATTGCAGTAATTCGAGAGGTTTAGACATTTTGGTATTTTTTATTTTAAATACAGGATGGTGGCTTCTTAATATCATTGCAGTCGATCGATAGCTAAGTTTTTAGAAGACGCTAACAGAAACATAAGTTTAGTCAGAACAATTTTAACAGTGTTTTTTTTTTAAATATAAAGGAACCAATCAGAACAAAACGCGCTAAAACTTTGGATTATATGTCTATCGAGTAAAGATAAGCCTCGCCGCTGGTAATCAGATTAGCACCTTCTCGTCACTCGTTACTGATGGCAATCCAAAGTTAGATTCATGATGAGTTTTTCAGACTTGCTACTCATTAACATACTTATTAATTGAATAAACAGTCAATTACATTAGAAAATTATCTATTATCCAATATTTACCTAATTTATAACTAATAAAGCTCGATAAATGATGTGGGTTCAAGCATATGTAAGAATGTACGCCTCTATGTACATAGGTGTGTCCCTTAAACAGCATAGACAGCTCCGGTCTCACCCGTCACATGAAAAACCCACGAATAAACTGAACAGACATTACAAAGCAAGCCAGGACCTGTACAAAACAACTTAGTTTTCCGCGTGTAAATTAAGCATTTGCTTGTTTCAAAAGACATTATTGTTCTTAAAGGAACTAAATCCAAAGAGCAGACATTTTACAGATAGCCATACTCGTCCAACGAGTCGAAAACTAATCATGTACATGGGTACTTGACCGAGGGGGGTTAGAACGTACAATTTTTAATCAGATCTAGGTTGGATTCTCACCATGTCAGCTCGATAAGTTCTTGATATTATCAGTCTGAGAAGACGATCCCGACATGGAAACCATAGTTGACCCAAGCCAAGAGCCACTCAAGGTAGTGGGTGACACAATCTGGATGTTGCAAAGGCTTAAGTGGAAGAATTGAGAAATGCAGATTATGAGGATATATAGCTCAGATAACGCTTCATATGAAGAGATTATGATCTTAGTGATCAGGAGAGCAACCGCTCGGGAGTCTGTTCCACAATGTTGCAATTCTGGAGAAGAAGCAGTCTGAGTGGAAGTTACTGAATCCCAGGAGAATACAAAGAGAATGAGGATGGTGTATGTGGCATGGCTTGTCTTCACTGAGGAGGTTCGAACTGGTTGAACTAAGGAAGATATCTCGTCTGAACATTTACTATAAAAATAACGATCGTGTACTCTGTGAGCAGTAACGTTTCGGCATTGGAAAAGAGGGTATATGGTTAAAATAATTAATCACCCACAAGGCCGGCTAAATGCTTCTGATTTCGGTCAAGGCTGGAAAGTGAGGATTAAGCAGATCCAAGATGGTGGAAATGCTCCATTTTTTGGTTTGTTAAGACTTTTGTAAAAATAGAGGATGCGATCCCAGCTGGGAAGCCACAGCTGACCCAAACTTTCTGAGCTACACTGGGTAAACGTTACGGTGGTTGTGTTTGAGCGTACAGACTTTGTGTAGATAGAACCATTCGGAAGGCTCCGAGGGTTGTAGCAGCACGATGTTACAAGTCATCGTGACCGAGGGTTTGAAAGTGCTGATCTTGTTCTACAAATTGATCACATCAAATTATAATCTCTCTCTCTCTTTCTCTCTCTCTCTTTCTCTTTTTCTCTCTCTCTCTCTCTCTCTCTCTCTCTCTCTCAGCTTAGCAGAAACAAATGTAACTAAGGTCCTCTGAACATAGATTGATTAACGACGAATGAGTCACAGATGGTCATGAATCAAGCAGCCAACAAATGTGCCTGGGATGGCGTATATAAACATATATTGATTAACGACGAAATGAGTCAGAGGCTATTTATTATGTCATGATATCAATGCATATAATGGTAAGGCCTCTCACTAGTCTAATATATATATATATATATATATATATATATATATATATATATATATATATATATATATATATATATATATATATATATATATATATATATATATATATATATTGTGTGTATTTAGGCAGCATCTTTTCATTCATACACGTTTCATTAAATAATATAGACAAGTGTTGTCTATTTATTTTATGTAAATTTTTTCGTAACGTCTGATAAGTTTAATAACATTATCGTTGAACGAAGAAAGAAATTCACAATATTGATCCATATTTTTTAATACACTCTAAGATTTCGGCTTACATAAGCCATTATCAAAGATGTCAATTACAACATATTAAGCAATATACAGACAAGACAGTGATGATAGTCTGCGATTGTTTACATGTTTCTTAGGAGGAATATGGACACACTGATAGATTGAATATGGGCGTAGAGAAAGATCGATGGACACACAGAGAGACAGATGGAATATGGATACACCGAAAGATAGATTAAATATGGACACATGAGAAATAGGTGGAATATGGACACACTGGGAGATAAATAAAGTATGGACACACTGAGCGATAGATGCAAGACAGACATACAGACTGATTAATTATTGTTGGAGATCCGCTGTTGTTCTGAGAAACTGATTACATTTTCAAACCTGAATTATCTTTTCTTTTTTCAAACCAGCATAAATGAAATGCAGGCGCGCTTATAATTGATATTCAACTTTCTGTGATATTGAGCGTGTGGCAACAAGTGACGCATTTGCCTTTGAGGTCAAAGCATGTAAAGAAATTTAATGGAAAGGTAATCAAGTAGATGAGACGGCGCGATCTTCATCCACACCAGATTCCTTCCTTACAATTATTTCGCCCTCAAGAGTTTTCTTTACCAATTATTCTATCTATCAATTTATAAATTATTTCTCAGTCATCTCAAGAGTTTTCTATCTTTATGCAGGTGTTTTATCTATCTATCTATCTTAATTATCTATCTCAGTTTTTCTTATCTATCTATCTATCTATCTATCTATCTATCTATCTATCTATCTATCTATCTATCTCAGTCTGTTCATTATCTATCTATCTATCTATCTATCGTCAGGCGCTGATTGAAAACTGACAGTTGTAGAATTTAAATACTGATATTTATATCACACTATAATGATAGTGGAGCAGTTCTTTTATTTACGGGGTGGGGTAATAAAATAAAATTATATATATATATATATATATATATATATATATATATATATATATAAGATAAAGGACAAATAAGTAACGTTTACCAAACTAACATGTTTCACTTTTTATTAAAGCTTCATCAGAGAATGAGATAGATAGATAGATAGATAGATAGATAGATAGATAACAAACATCGATCAAATATGGATTGGAATCCGACAGAATGATGAGATAAAGAACAAATAAGAAATGTTTATCAATCTAACATGTTTCACTTTTATTAAAACTTCATCAGAGAATGAGATATGAGGAAAAAAGAAGAAAGAAATTTTGGTATTTTTACTTTTTTGTTGTTTTTGATTTTCTTTGATTAATCATATTTCGACTTGTTAAACCAAAATTAGTATAATTTTTGTGGCGTTCCAAATTCAAGGAGAGACGACGTTCCATCCGGAGTTTAAAGAAATTAACGGTTTCCTTACTAAAAAAAAGTAAGTGTTGCTTTATGTATAAAAGTGTATAATAATTATATTTTGTTTATGTGGAATCAAGATCATAATATATATTTGTAAGTCTATTTGTCTGTTTCTAGTGGACATATTTATTGATTTTTTTGCATGTTGATTTGGGAACTCTTTTTGACGCACATACCGTCTGTTTTAGATAAACATACGTTACATTCTTTGAGAATAGATACAACAAAGTTTGGTGATGTAATATAATGTTTTTGTCATGTTTATATTTGGTAATATTGTTATTAGAAGCTCCTCGTCCATTAGCAGAGAGCTAATTGTGTGTCCTTGCTCGATTGTGACGTCTCCAATTCGGAGCACGCATCTGAGGCTGTTCTTTTATCAAAATATTCCATCCATAGTAATTGGGATGGCCGTCAAGAAAAAATATTTCCAAATACATTCCCCCATTCTGAGCAATATCCGTGATATAGTAACACTTTAATACACGGGCGGAACAGAATAGTAGAAAAGAAGAAAATGATAAGCATGAATTGATCTCAAAGAGATTTTTATACCGATATATACATACTTGCCACTAATTTGACCCAGATAACATGTATACAACTAGCAGTGTGAAAGGGTTGAAAAACGAGAGGGTCTTACTGAAGGGAAAACGGGCAGGCTTGTGGTGTCCTTTATGCACGTGATGAGACCATGTGATTTTCTCTTCTTTCTTAACTGCCGTGGACAGTCATGTCTTGCTTCTCTGTTGTCTTCATAGCAACTGGTGTGTTCTTTCATGATGTGGATCGTCATGTCTCTCTATAACTTCCTGTCCCTTGTAAATCTAAGTAACTCCTGAGTTCAGTATGTCCTGTGAGTATTAATTTCTGTAGTCCTTCTTTCCTCATAATATGTCCCAGAAATGTCTAGTGACTATTTCTCATTGTAAGTATGTGTTTTTTAAGTTCCCATATTCCTTAAAGGTCCTCGTTGGTTACTCTCTCTGACCACAACATTCTCATCATCTATCTGTAGAACCACATTGCTGTTGCCTCAAGTCTTCTCTTCATCTATAATAATAATCTACTTAATAAGGCTGAACCTGCTATCAAATTAACGCATGAATTTGAAAGAAATTAATCCCTACCTTTCCTCAAGATGTTAATACGTTACAACAACAAATTAGATTTTAGAGATTATAGTAAACCTACTAACAAAAACGATCTAATTAATTTCTATTCTCACCACAATAAAGAAAATTAGGATTCTACCTCAGAACACTTAAGACAAGTAGCCCAGAACACTTAGGCGAAAAAGATAAATACACCGAGAAAATATTTAGACTTCTTCATTATCCACACCATTTCATCCTCAACGATAGATAACGATCTTTCTTTTTCCTTTTTTTTTGTTTAAGCGTTTCACCCCAAGCAAGGCGAGAAGCCACTAAGACGCAATGGGTTACAGAAAATTTAGAGCAAGATCAGATAGAAGTGATAGAAGAAAGGATGAGGAGAAGAGTAGTGGATAGATCAAGGCAACTGGAGATGTCGATTGACATTACATTTGAATAGTTGGAGATTATAGCTCACAGGGAAACAAGAATAGGGAAGGGAGTTCCACGGGCGAGAGGTGCGAGACATGAAGCTATTGGAGTAGAAGAGAGGGCTACATTTAGTAGTTTAGACAGTGAAAGGGTGAGAGCGGGATGCCAGCCTCGTAGGGCGCTTGAACTTAAGGAGAAAGAAGAAGAGGAGGAGACAGAAGAAGAAGAGGGGTGGAGGAAGAGGAGGAGGAAGAAGAAGAAGAGAGGAAGAAGAAGAAGAGAGGAAGAAGAATAATAGGAGGAGGAGGAAGAAAAAGAGGAAGAAGAAGTATAGAAGCATAGGAGAAGGAAGAAGAAGAGGAGGACGATGAAGAAGAAGGGGAAGAAGAAATATAGGAGAAGGAAGTAGAAAGAGAAGGAGGAGAAGAAGAGAAGGAGGCGGAAGTAGAGGAGGAGGTGAAAAAGGAAGAGTGGGAGGAAGAAGAAGAATAGGATGAGAAGGAAGAAGAGGAGGAGGACGGGGAAGAAGACGAGGAAGAAGAAGTATAAGAGAAGGAAGTAGAAGAAGAAGGAGGAGGAGGAGAGAGAAGGAGGCGGAAGAAGAGGAAGAGGTGAAAGAAGAGTGGGAGGAAGAAGATGAATAGGAGGAGAAGGAAGAAGAATAGGAAGACGAAGAAGAAGAAGAGGAATAAAAAGTACAAGAGAAGAAAGAAGAAGAAGAAGAAAAAGAAGAAGAAGAAGAAGAAGAGAAGGTGGCGGAAGAAGAAAAATAGGATAAGGAAAACGAAGAAGAATTATCGTTATTTCGTGCAAAATCTTCATCCGCCCATTTTAAAAGAAAACAAAACAAATTCAACGAATAACAAAGCGTGTATTTAAAAGGCCTTGGGGTAAGAGGCTCCTCTTTTCATTCCCACACGTTGGGTCGAAAATGTTTCAAAAATGGAAAGAGAGAGAAAAAAGTGTATAAAAAGCGAAAAAAGAAATGAATGAAAAAATAAATCAAAGAAAAAGAGAAAAGATCAGGTGACCGAGAAACTTCCTGTGTAACCTTCAGATGAATATATCTATAATAGACAGCAGAAGAAATCGCCATAGCGTCGCAAAAGTTAACCTTGAGATCTTGTCTTTCATACGAACTTGAAACGAAAACGAGGCCTCCTTCATAATATGTACAGTTTTTAGTGAATTTCGAAACGAAGAAAAACCTACTGAACTGTTACGTAATATCAGTCCTCCGATAAGACAGTGAATGCTGGACAATGTCTTCAAAGATGAAGAAGAGACGAAGCCACAGAAATGTGGTTCTACAGAAGGATGCTGAGAATACCATGGACCAAACATGTGAGCAATGACGAGGTTTTAGAAAATAGCAATATAAATAAAACTTATACTTATCATCAGGAAAAGACTGTTGAAATTTCTAGGGTACAAAGTAAGGGCTTGGAAAATTGGACACTTACGGGACAGACAGAAAATGAAAGGTTCAGAGAAAAACTCATAACCTACAGAGAGAGCTTGTGTAAATGGATGGTGGAACATGGTTTAGGAGAGTTAACAAAATAACCCAATTTATTAAGAGCTACAAAGAAAAGAAAATAGGGGGGAGCCATGATCTCATACGGTTTAAAAGGACACGTCATATAGAAAACGAAGTGTTCGGAAGTTTGTATAGTGTTTTGGAAAGGATGGAGGCGATGGAATTGGTTAGCCTAAGAATTTGGTGAATAAAAGAAAAAGAAGAAAAAGTTAACGGAATGAATGAAAAAGAAATGTTTTTTATTTATTTTATGGGAATATTTTTGGTTTAAAAAACATTTTCTCCTTCCTATTATTTCTATTTTGTTTTATCATATTTTTTTTTCTTTCATTACTATGTCCCACATTCTTTCTTTCTCCTTGTTTTCTTTTTTCATTCCTTATTATCATAATTCATTTCTTTGGTTTTCTCTTTCTTTCATTCATTCTTTCTTTCATTCTTTCTTTCTTTCTTTCTTTCTTTCTTTCTCTTTCGTTCGTTACTTCCTTCTCCCTTTTTTATCATTTTATTTCGTTTTTCTTTCCTCCTTCTTTTCTTTCTTTTTCTTTCTTTCTTTCTTTCTTTTCTTTTTTTTCATTCCTTATTATCATAATTCATTTCTTTGGTTTTCTTTTCTTTCATTTCTTTTTTTCTTTCATTCATTCTTTCTTTCTTTCTTTTTTTTCTTTTTCTTTCTTTCTTTTCGTTGGTTACTTTTCTCCTTTATTATCATAACCAATTTATTTCGTTTTTTTCCTCCCTTCTTTCTTCCTTTTCTTTATTTCTTTCTTTCTTTCTTTCTTTCTCCT